ACCAGCACCACCCCCCTCTCCCCAGTGCTGCAATCTGGACAGGGTCAGCCCCAAATCTCATCTCTGCACTGCAGCTGCTCCATCACCTGCCTGCAGCTGCCTCAGGGCTGCACAGGGGGGGGCCGTCCTGCAGGCTGGGAGGGGGGGGGAGGGGATGGTGGGGGCTGCCCTCCTCAATACCCCAAAACCACAGCGATGGGCACGGAAGGTCCTGGCATGTCCTCACCTGCATTGTCACCGACCTCGTTGCTCCCCATCCTCACCCCACATGTTGATGCTCGGGGGGGGGGGGGGGGGGGGGGAGGGTTGTCTTACAGCTGCGTCAGCCCCAGCCCAGCCCTGCCTGCGGGCGCTGTGGGTTCGGTGCCGTGGAGGGCGGGCAACAACGCAGCAGCTTTGTGCCAGGAGCTGAGGGTGGAGGGGCAGGAGGGGATGGAGCTGTCAGCTGATGGAGCTGGCAATGCGTTGGGGTCGTGCGGGGACGCGGCTGCTCACCGCCTGCCCCCATGCGGCCGAGGGGAAGGGGTCACCCCACAGCCTCCTCCTCCTCCCTATGACCGTGAGGGGATGTGCTGTCCTTGTCTGTTCTCCCCGGGGTGGTGGTGGTGGGGGTGGGGGGAGCTCAGTGCCATGTGTCCGTGCTGTGCCTGACGGTGTTCCTTCTCCACCCCCAGGTCAATGACTTCTTATCGGGCCGTTCCCCGCTCACCCTGGCACTGCGTGTGGGCGACCATATGATGTTCGTGCAGCTCCAGCTGGCGGCCCAGCAGAGCAGCGGGCAGCTCCAACACCGGCACGTCATCGCCAGCCGCGGCGAGACGGGGGCCACCAACACCCCCCACTGCCGGACCCTACATGGCAGCACCGGCTCCGGTTTCGCCCGCATCCCCGTGGTGCCCTCCTGCCCGCAGAGCCCAGCTCCCAGCCCCACGCCCACCACGCCGGCCCCCCCCGTGTACTGTAATGCCCCCCACCCCGCTCCCGTCACTGCTGGGATGTTCCGGTCGCACGGGGCCAGCGCGCAGACGGTGAACAGCAGCGTGGTGTCGTCGTGCTCAGAGGTGAGTCAGGGTTTGGGGCTGCTGGGGCTCGAGGTGCCATTTAGGGCACCGGTGCCCGTGGCTTTGAGGGCAACAAGTGCTGCTCGCCCTCTGTCGCCAAACCTGGAGGTGTCCCCTGGCTCTGGGGGTGCTGGGTTGGGGAGGAGGGGTTGGGGGGTGGGGTTGGGGGAGGAGGGCTGTGCTGAGGGTTGTGCTGAACCCCGTGTTTCCCCATCCAGGTGGACTGCAGTATGCGTGGCGGCTCCTCGCCCAGCAGCAGCCCAGCACCGAGCGCCCGCTCCCGCAAACCTGGGGCCGTCATCGAGAGCTTCGTCAACCACGCGCCTGGGGTCTTCTCAGGGACCTTCTCCGGTACGGGCGGCTGATGGCTGGGATGGGGGGGGGCTGTGAATCTGGGAAGCTGCTGGGCTCACATCTCCTCTTTTCCTTCCCTTCTCCCCCCCCCCAGGCACTTTGCACCCCAACTGCCAGGACAGCAGCGGGCGGCCGCGGCGGGACATCGGCACCATCCTGCAGATCCTCAACGACCTCCTCAGCGCCACGCGACACTACCAGGGCATGCCGCAGTCCCTGGCACAGCTCCGCTGCCAGACGCAGTTCTCCTCATCTTCCTCTTCTTCCTCACCTCCCGCATCCCCGGACCTCACCACCAAAACTACCTCAGAGCCGTTGCCAGCGGCCGCAGCATCCGCTCCTCTGCACCCCATCGTCCAGTGCCAAAGCCAGATCCGGATGTGCAAGCCCAGTGGTGAGCATGGCCTGGGGGGGGAGGCGGAGGGGGTGGGTCTGGGGGCACCCAGGCCGTTGCCCATCCATAGGGAGCAGCTCTTGCTGGTGGCACTGGGATCCTGCTATCAGCTTCTCCCCCCTCCTGCACACTGGGATCCTCTCCACCTGCACAGCGCTGCCCCAGGGTTCAATGAGGTGGGGGGGCAGCTCTCATTGGACCCCCCCACCTCATTTTCCTCTGCACATCATCTTGGTGCCGTTTTGTAGGCAGGACGTGGCATGGGGGTGGGTGACTGTGCGTCCCTGTGCCCCCCCTGCAGGGTTGGGGCTGCCCCTGGTGTGTGGAGGGAGACAGGAATGCAACTCCTTGCCCACCCATCCCGTTCCCAACCCCCTGGGATGGGTTTCTGCAGAGGGGGAGATGGGATGAGATGCTCAGGTGGCTCCCAGTGCTTGAGGAGGAGGGGGGAGGGGGGGGTGCACATCCTCTTCCCTTCCCCATCACCACGATTTGCATAGAGAAAAGAACTGAAACTGAAGGGTCTCACTCTCCCCTTCACTTTTTCTCTTCCTTCTCTCCCTGTGCTGGGGGGGG